GAACAGGCTGCCCAGGGGGGTTGTGGAGTCTCCTTCTCTGGAGATATTCAAAGCCCGCCTGGATGAAGTCCTGTGTAACATGCTCTAGGAGAATCTGCTTTAGCAGGGGGGTTGGAGTGGATGATCTCACAAGGTCCCTTCCAACCCTTGCCATTCTGTGATTCTGTGATTCTGTCCCTTCTCACCAACACGTGATTCACACTATGAAGCAGCCGCTGGGTGCGTGTCACCCGACGGACCAGTCTCAAGGTGCATGAACTGGATTGAACGTCAACTGAGAGATGCAGTTGGGGTGCACGTCATGTGCCCCAACCACAAATGGGCTTTCAGCCCATGGGATCCCATCAGCCAGTCCAAAGCAAAACCCAACCGGATTCATATAGTGTCGAGAAGGTCTGGTCCTCAGCACCAGCTGATCCAGTCTCATCGGTGTGTTTACACAGCACTACTTGCCAACATAGGCATAACCTGAAAGGATGGTTATTTTGACTCTAGTATGCCAAGACTTATAAACAGATCTTTGCTTAGGTTTAAACTTAAGCAAAAGTCATACTTTAAATTTACCAAAGTTAGTATAACTAACTGGAGGGCATTTTTTTCCTACAGAAGATCACTGTGTTTGAGAGTGTGGATGTATACCCTACGCTACTGCTTGCAGAAAACTTTTTTTCCCGATTCAAATCCATGTCATTAACACATGAGCTACAAGTCATCTTGCCTTCTGGTGAGAGAATTTTCACCCTCAGACTTTTGTCATAATTGAGGTAAAACCTGATTTGCCAGTAACAACTCAGGAAGTTTATTTATTTTCAGAGAAGTCATAAGAAGGAAGTAAATCTATTTAGCTTCCAGAAATTTTTATTAAAATTTATTTTAAATAGCTCTGCTGCCTCTTTTCTGGGATCAGTGAAAGCATGGAAAAACTCTCACAGAAATTTCTAATCTGTTGAAGGCCAATTTCATCAAAAAACACCGAGAGTAACTTCTGTTTTTACCAGCTCTACTTGGCAGATGTTTTCTGCCTACAGGGGCACTACGATACACAAGTGTTGAGATCTGAATGCTATCAAAGTCGGTACATACTTAAATGTGTAAATAAGCTTTCTCAGTTCCACATTAAACTCTTATGTGAAATATTACAGTTTTAAGCAAGTGCCAATGAAATTGAAGCACTCTTCTTCAAAACTTCTCCATAAAATATTTCAATGATCCAGCTACGCATGAACATAGCTTTCTAAAGGTCTTTCACAAAACCATAAATTCTCTATTCTCACAGATTTTAGAATATCATGCCATAGCCTAACTTTTAAAATTAAGTGCTGTAAAAGTTTAACTACCAACTCTGATGCTTCTAGATTCTTTCCTCTTTTCAGTATTCATGTTTAGTTTTTTCTGAGTAACATATAAATGTCAGCCTTAAATTAGGAAGTACTTTGTCTGAGCCAAAAGTGATGGATTTTACTAAGTGATTTGATAGATTTTAGAGGCTCTTTATCTGCTCCGAGGTTTGCATTTCACATTTATTCCAAAGGTCAATTGCCAAG